GCGTTGGAAAGGCCTTCTAGCTTTTTGTCCACCAGATCTTTAACTTCTTGCCGACCAGCCACTGTAGAAATACGGTGGCAGATCGGCACGGCTGGGCAAAACCATGTTTTAAAACATGCTCTTGCAAAACAGGTAGGGGGCGCGCGCGAGGCGCGTGTCCGCCCTACCCGTCCCGCCGATCGCGGCCGTGGGTGTCAGTCCCCGGGTCACGGCTGGTCATTACCTACCGTGTCCTGGCGATTAGCGGCAATCACTGACAGAGAGGACAACTGCAGTGTTTACACTGCAGCCGTGCTTTCTGTCAGTCCCCTGTCAGCTCCTGACATGCTGATCCGGAGAGAAGAGTTTATCTCTCCGGATCAGCCTTGTTCCCGTGCAGTACACACTCCCACACCCCCTAGTAAAACACTCCCCTCACACAGTTAACCCTTTCAGTAAAAAAAAAGTTAACCCCTTCCTCCCCAGTGCCATTAGTACAGTGTCAGTGGTTTTTTTTTTTTTTGCACCGATCACTGTATTGGTGTCACTGGGGATGTCAGTGACCCCAAGTCAGTTTCCCCCCAGTGTCAGAATGTCCGCCACAGTCCCGCAGTCCTGCCATAAGGCGCTGATCGACGCCATAAGTCACTGATCGACGCCGTAAGTCGCTGATTGCCGCCATTATTAGTATAAAAAAAATTAAAAATCCCAGTATCTTTCCCGCCATTTGTAAACGCTATAACTTTCACGTAAACCAATTTACATGTATTGGGGTTTTTTTTTTTTAGCAAAGACATGTCACAGAATACATTTTGGCAGAAATTTATGACTAAATTTGATTTTTACATTTTTTTTTACTGTACGTTTTATAGCAAAAAGTCCAAAATATTGTTTTTTTTTCCTCAAAATTGTCAGCCTTTTTTTTTATAGCATAAAAAATAAAAAACCGCACTTGCGATCAAATACCACCAAAAGAAAGCTCAATTTGTGGGGAAAAAAGGATGTAAATTTCATTTATATACCGTATTGCATGACCGCGCAATTGTCGGTTAAACTAGCGCAGCGCTGGATAGCAAAAAAAATGGCGTAAATTGCAGTATCTATACCATAGTTTGTAGACGCTATAACATTCACACAAAGCAATCAATATACACTTATTGGGATTTTTTTTACCAAAAACATGTAGCAGAATAAATGTTGGCCTAAATTCATAACCAACTTTGAGTTTACTATATATTTTTTATAGCTGAAAGTAAAAAATATCATTTTTCTTCAAAATTTTTGGTCTTTTTTTGTTTATAGCGTGAAAAATAAAAAGCGCACAGGTGATTAAATACCACCGAAAGAAAGCTCTAATTGTGTGAAAAATAGGACATAAATTTCATTTGGGTGCAGCATTGCATGACCGCGCAATTATCAGTTGAATTAGTGCAGCGCCGAGTAGCAAAAAGAGGCCTGGTCATTAAGGGGGGTAAATCCTCAGGAGGGCAAGTGGTTAATGCCAGAATGCCCCCCTACTGGAACAGTTAAAGTCTTGGGCAAAAAGCTCAGGAAGAGCAAAGATCTTGTCTGGATTAGGCCAAACCCTTAATAAAATAGGCTGCATCAGTGAAGGAACAGGGACTGGTATTTTAGACTTGGGGCTTTTAAGTGAACCCATACTCGTAACCGTAACTAAAATCAGCTCAGGTTTTCCAGGTCTAGACATGTGCTGACTGCATCAGAAAGAGCAGCAATGGTATCCCTATGTTTTGGAGTTGTGTCAGTAGACCAAGCACCAAATCATCTACCATAAATAGGACACCATCTGCAGTATTTTTAGCTGACTGCACCAAAACAGCTGTAGCTATAGGGAAAACAGAGCTCTCTGGAGGAGAGGCCATGGATTCTCACTTGTGGCTGTGCACTGCTTCAGCACAGTTGAAAAGCTCCCTTAATCTCAGACATAGTAGCAGTAAAATCCTCCTAAGTTAATACAAAGGAGGGAGCTATCCCTGAAAGGGTTAAAGAAGACTTAGAGGAGTGTTATGACTGAGGAAGGGGACAGTGATCCAGACAATCACAGTCAGGTCTCTTTGAGAGTATACTTGCAAGCCTTTCCAGAACTGTTGATGACTCTGACACTGTCTGGGTGGGGCTTGTGGAGCTGCAAGAAGTGTGGAATCGGTCACCCATGCTCTAGTCTGGACAATGGCACATGCACTTGCAGAAAGAGCATCAATAAAGATGCAGACTCATTAAGGTGCCCAGCAAAGAGTCAAAGAAAACCGTGACAAATTGAAACACAAACTCACGCAGATGTTTATTTTACATGAAACTTACCACATGCCAGAAAAAAAATTTCTATTGCATCGCAGAGAAACTCAAAAGTGTCCTAGATGTACTAAAGGCCCAGCTGACTTAATTCACATGTTGTGGAGGTGCCCTAAGCTTCATCGATATTGAAAATATTGTAACCTCCACCTGCCAGATTACAATACTATTAGATATGGGCACATACCCCAACACCAAGCATTTGGCAAAGACACGACGCCTAAGCTTCTAATATAGTATAATAGACCTGTGCTAGAGACTCATGGGTGCAAGTTCTCTTCAGAAATTGACTTCTCTATATGAGCTTGAGCTACAGATTTACAGGAACAGCTACTGTGGATATAGAAAATCTACACACCCCTGTTAAAATGTCAGATTTCTGTGATGTAAAAAAATCAGACAAAGATAAATCATTTCAGAAGTTTTTCCACCTTTAATGTGGCCTATAAACTGTACAACTCAATTGAAACCAAACTGAAATCTTTTAGGGGTAGGGTGGGGAGTAAACATAAAAAACTAAAATAATGTGGTTGCATAAGTGTGCACACCCTCTTATAACTGGGGATGTAGCCGTGTTCAGAATTAAGCAATCACATTCCAAATCAGGTTAAATAGGGGTCAGTACACACCTGCCATCATTTAAAGTGCCTCTGATTAACCCCAAATAAAGTTCAGCTGTTCTAGCAGTCTTTCCTGACATTTTTAGTCGCATCCTACAGCAAAAGCCATGGTACGCAGAGAGCTTCCAAAGCATCAGAGGGATCTCATTGTTAAAAGGTACCAATCAGGAGAAGGGTACAAAAGAATTTCCAAGGCATTAGATATACCATGGAACACACAGAAGACAGTCATCATCAATTGAAGAAAATATGGCGCAACATTGACATTACCAAGAACTGAATGTTCCTCCAAAATCGATGAAAAGACAAGAAGAAAACTTGCCTGGGAGGCTGCCAAGAGGCCTACAGCAACATTAAAGGAGCTGCAGGAATATCTGGCAAGTACTGGCTGTGTGGTACATTTGACAACAATCTCCCATATTCTTCGCATGTCTGGACCATGGAGTACAGTGTCATGACGGAAGCCTTTTCTTACAAAGGAAAACATCCAAGCCAGGCTAAATTTTGCAAAAACACATCTGAAGTCTCCCAAAAGTATGTGGGAAAATGTGTTGTGGTCTGATGAAACCAAGGTTGACCTTTTTGGCCATAATTTCAAAAGATATGTTTGGAGCAAAAACAACACTGCACATCACCAAAACAACACCATACCCACAGTGAAGCATGGCGGTGGAAGCATCGTGCTTTTGGGCTGTTTTTCTTCAGCTGGAACTGGGTCCTTAGTCAAGGTAGAGGGAATTGTGAACAGTTCTAAAAACCAGTCAATATTGGCACAAAACCTTCCGGCTTCTGCTAGAAAACTGAACATGAAGAGGAACTTTATCTTTCAGCATGACATTGACCTAAAGCATACATCCAAATCAACACAGAAATGGCTTCACCAGAAGATTAAAGTTTTGGAATGGCCCAGCCAGAGTCCAGACCTGAATCTGACCGCAAATCTGTGGGGTGATCTAAAGAGGGCTGTGCACAGGAGATGCCCTTGCAATCTGACAGGCTTGGAGTGTTTTTGCAAGAAAGAGTGGGCAAATATTTCCAAGTCAAGATGTGCCATGCTGAGATAGACTCATACCCAAAAAGACTGCTGTAATAAAATCAAAAGGTGCTTCAACAAAGTATTAGTTTATGGTTGTGCACACTTATGCAACCATTATATTTTAGTTTTTTATTTTTACTTCCCTCCACCTAAAATATTTCAGTTTGTTGTTCAACAGTTTATAGGTTACATTAAAGGTGGAGAAAGTTCTGAGCGATTTATCTTTGTCTCATTTTTTTACATCACAGAAACCTGACATTTTAACAGGGGTGTGTAGACTTTTTATATCCACTGTATGCGTGAAACATCTGAAGGTCCTGCAACCCCTGGAACACCCTGAAAATGCAAAGCAACCTGTTAAACACTGGGGCTTGGTCACTATACTTGCTGTTAGCTGCCATTGTAACACTTCAGCTTGTAGTCCTATACATGCTATGTGTTGCTATTGGAAAGCTGTGGCTTGTAGCTCCAAAACTCTTATGTACTGCTAATGGAATGCTAGGACTTTTGGTACTAATTTCATACATGCTGCTATTGAAATGCTGGAAATTGTAATTCTTTACTCCTTGTGTGCTGGTATTGGAATGCTGTATATTATAGTTTTATACTTCCCATGTGCATCTGCTAGTGGAATGTTGTGACCTGTAGTTCTATAACCTCAGTGCACAGAGGCCTGTTATTGTCCATGTTGTTATTAAGTCCATTTTATGCTGGCACAACTGGTGGTGACGCTTGACCTCTGTATTGTGAATCAACGCATATCTTCTGATGTTGGAGTACATGGATGCAACCAATGATCACACTAAACAAAGTACTGTTTAGGATTTAATAGACACTTAACCCTATTTCTTGTATCTTCCTCTTCCATTCCTGTCCTTCCCACCCTACTATGTACTACACACCCTCAAAGAATTTCCCTGCAAACCAGGCTCCTTATGCCTACTCTCTGTATGCTTTCTCTCTGCATCAGTCATCAAACATCAAAGAAAGACACATATAGAAGAGAAGACTGAAAGAAAAGGATAAATTTGACTAATAGCATTCGTCAACACCTGTTTAGCTGCTAGAGTCTCATCATTCGAGCTGTTCCGTACAATGTCTCTGTAGGTCATCTCCGAATTCCTCTTTTTCTGCAGTGCACCCGAGAGTCTCATCCAAAGCTTATATAACCAAAAAAAAAAAGTTAATGATTGTTCTTACTGAAATTGCCAATGAATTTTTAAAACATAATTCCAGTTTTACACACACACACACACACACACACACACACTTATAAAATTATGTGACTTCCTGCTTCCTGTTCCAGTAGCAATTACCCAATGCCCCCCAAAATTTCCCAGATGTCATAGGGCAGAAGTGAGGGTGGATCTTCCCAATGATGTTACGGGCAAAAAACAGACACATTTTAACTCTTCGCCCATCTAAAACTAAAGCAAAAAAGTTTGGCTGGAGTAAGGTTGGATTTACATTCTTGTGCTGAGGAAACGCATTCCCTGTATTAAGGTTAAAAATTCCCCACAGCTTGTTCCTTCCCGCCCATCCCAAAACACTTACTTGACTCTTCTCACAATAGGCTCCTGCTGCTGTCAGGCAAATTTTGATTTTGAGAGGAGTGAGCAGGGGGCATGGCTGAGCCAAGCTGTGTGTGTCTGTGGATACACACAGTCTGTTTCCGGAGCATGCCCGTAGGGGTAGACCCTCACCATACTGCTTGCTAAGGGGGCACACGCAGGAAAGGAGAAGACAGAGCTGGCAGGAGACTCCAGAAGAAGAGCAAAGGGACTGCTCCTATTTTTTAGTTTAATTTTAAAAAATTACCTTTACAATCTTTTTAATTCCCAACCCACCTGTGTTGCAGTGCACCCAAATGTGCAATAATGAACTACTATCCCTTGAGTGCTGCTTTACAAAAAATAGCATATGTACCTTTTTTGTGCATATGGGGGTGATTGGCAGCCCATTCTATTTTTTTCTTATTAGTTCAACTCGATGGACTTGTTTCTTTTTTTCCACCTAATTATTTAAGTGGTTGTAAAGGCTGCATGAAGGTAAAACACCTTCTGTGTGCAGCATCCCCCCTAATATTAACTGGAGTCATATCACTATCCAGAGATATACACAAGAGTCTCGGCTATCCGAGGACTCTCTCTCCTTATTGGTGGAGTCAATCACAGCCAGTGAGCCAATAAGGAGAGGAAGGAGGTGAGGCCAAGTCACAGCTCTGTGTGTGAATGGACACAAAGCAGCGGCTCGGGAGTGAGCCTGCTTGGGTGCCCCCACAGCAAGATGCTTGCCCAGGGAGTATAAGGCAGGAGGGAGGGGTCAGGAGTGCCAGAAGGGGCCCCGAGAAGAGGAAGGTTGGGGCTGCTCTGTGCAAAACCACTGCACAGAGCAGGTAAGTATACCATGTTTGTTACTTTGCAAAAAATTGCAGTTAATGTTACTTTAACTACGTAGTTTAAAGCAGAACTAAACTGCATCTGAGCATCACAAACCAAAAACGCTATTCCACTAACTTTTCTTCAAAGCAAACTCATCCATCCATCCATACATGTCTCCATGCTTTATTTTACTGAGAAATCACTTTGAAAAACACCCCCTAGCATTTTTGGCTGCGACTTTCTTAAGTAAGGGCAGATGATTCATGCAACATTTACTTCTTAGAATCCATCTGCCCTTAGCTCAGGCATGCATGCAGGAGGGTGTGCTTAGCTGAGTAAACCCACCCATCCTGCCCTTCTGAAGACTCCTGGAATGTACAGCATCATTTGCCCAGGCCTGGAAATCAAGTAAATAGAATATGCTTTCCTACGTGCTTTTGCATTTCCAGGTAGGGGGTACGCGAGAGCCGCGTGCATGCCCTACCTGCGCTGCCATTCGCAGCCTCAGCTATCAATCACTGGGTCCCGGCCGGTGATTACTCACCAGCACCCGGTGATCGCCGAGTGTTACCTACGGGGGAAAGAACTGTATGTAAACAATACAGTCCTCTCTCCTGTCAGTTCCAGCACACTGCTTTGTACGTACAAGGCAGTGTGCTTACAGTGGAAAGCACACATACAGCCTCATAGTAAAACACACACAGCACACAGTTAACCCTTTGATCGCCCCAGATGTTAACCCCTTCCTGCCCAGTGCCATTAGTACAGTGTCAGTGCTTTTTATTAGCACTGATCACTGTGTTGGTGTCACTGGGGATGTCAGGGACACCAAGTTAATTTCCCCCGTGTCAGAATACCCTCCACAGTCCCGCTGTAAGTTGCTGCTCACCACAATTACTAGTACAAAAAAAAAAAATTACAGTATATATACCGCCATTTCTAAACCCTATAACTCATGTAAACCAATTAATTTACACGTATTAGGATTTTTTTTTAGCAAAGACTTAATACATAACACATGTTGCCCTAAATTTATGCAGAAATTTGATTTTGAAAATTTTTTTTATTGGACATGTTTAAAAGTCAAAAATATTGGTTTTGTTTTCTCAAATTGTCGGGTATGTTTATAGGGCATAAAATAAACCACAGGGGTGATCAAATGCCACCAAAATAAAGCTCTATTTGTGGGGGGAAAAAAAAGAACATAAATTTCATTTGAGTGCAGCGTTGCGTGACCACGCAATTGTCAGTTAAACAACACACAGCCGTCATGCAAAAAATGGCCTGGTCAGGAAGGGGGGTAAATCCTCTGGAGGGAAAGTGGTTAAACCTACACCCCTAACCGATGTCCAATGTCTATAAACAAACAGTCTTACAATATTTCATATCTTTACTTGCAGAGGACTGTAGAATCAAGGAGGGGAGCAATGCTAGCCTTAGAAAGTTGTAGGATTTGCATGCTACTGAATTTAAATTGATACAGACTGCTAAAGACAAGTTGACACTTTTGCTTTAAGCACTGATGTACCTGTGGTCTCATACTGTGAGGAATTCCAGCTAGTACAAGCGAGCGCAGTTTGTCACAATGAGGGAGTGTCACATCTATCTTATCCCACGTTAGGTCCCCTACATCATGGTTGTGGGTAAACTCTAGGTGGGCCTGCCACTTCAGCCTCTGCTGGGGGTCTTCTGTCAGTGGGATACCCAATAGCTTACTTGAATTAGGTTCTGCACCATCTGCAATATGTAAAACAAGAAAAACAGGAAAACACAAATTAATGTATTCAGTACAGTAACAAATATAGGGATAGACAGATGTATATGAAGGCTTCAGCAGTTATCGAGATGAAGTTTTCCTCAAACTCATTTTAAGAAGAAAAAAAAAAATGAACTCAGATATTTCCTTGTCATTGTTACCTTCTTTATCCACTCTGAATCCAAACTCATCATAGCGGAACTCTGGCTGCTCTACAGACTGCTCCTTCTGTAAATCATGTAGAGAGATAAAGATTTGTATAAAGAAACCTCAATATTCGTGCACAATGTTTCAGAACAACCACAAATATGCTCAAGGTGTTCCAAAGAGATACTTGTTCCTACCTGTGTGTATTTTGCAAGTATGTCCTGTGGCCACATGCTTGGTGTCAAAAGCAGAGAAAGGGCCACCCGGAGATGGGGTGTAACTGCCTAAATGAAACAAAATAAAATAAATAATAAAAAGAAATATATATATATCCCAAATTAAATATACTGTTATCGATTCAGTGCCTATGCTTAAAAAAGGAGGTGATGTGGAATAGCTTCTTAAAAAGAGGGATTTTTTGGGGGGGGATTCACAAATCAAATACAATTGAGGTTTAATGTTGATAAAGGAAAGGTTATGCATTTGGGGGCTAAGAATATGCATGCATCATACATACTATGGGGAGTACAACTGGAGGAATCAATGGTGGAGAAGGATCTGGGAGTTCTGGTAGATCACAAGTTTAATAATGGCATGCAATGCCAAGCTGCGGTTTCTAAAGCGAGCAAAATCCTCTCATGTATTAAAAGAGGTATTGACTCCAGAGAGAGAGAGAGTGAGATATCATTTTACCCCTGCACAAATCATTAGTAAGACCTCATCTGGAATACGCAGTTGAGTTTTGGGCACCAATTCACAAAAAGAACACTGGGAAACTGGAGAAAGCACAGAGAAGGGCAACCAAACTGATAAGGGGCATGGAGGAGCTCAGTTATGAGGAAAGATTAGAGGAACTGAATGTATTCTCTCTTGAGAAGAGGAAATTAATGGGGGATATGATCAACATGTATAAATACATCAATGGTTCATATAGTGAACTCTGTGTAGAGTTATTCACCGTGAGGTCATCACAGAGGACAAGGGGGCACTCCTTACGTCTGGAGGAAAAGAAATTTAATATCCAAACACAGAAAGGTTTCTTCACAGTAACAGCTGTAAAAATGTGGAATAGACTCCTCCAAGAGTTGGTTCTAGCCAGCTCAGTGGATTGCTTTATAAAAGGCCTGGATTCTTTCTTGGATTCACAGAATATAACTGGATACTAAAATTTATAGGTATAGTTGATCCAGGTATAGGATGTTCCAGGGAATATCCGATTGCCTCTCAGGTGATCAGGAAGGAATTTTTTCCCTTGCCGGAGCAAATTGGATCATGCTTTGCTGGGTTTTTTTGTCTTCCTCTGGATCAACTGTGGGTGTAGGATTATAACTTTTTTTTTTTTTTATGGTTGAACTGGATGGACTTTGGTCTTTTTTCAGCCAGACTAACTATGTAACTATGTAAATACATTGCATCCATTCGGTCTAAATCGTGACTTTGTTTTATTTTTTGGGAGGGGGGAGGGATTCGCAAATTAAATTCATTGCACTTAATTGGTCTAAATCATGATTTTCATTTATATTTAAAACAAGATTGATGTGTATATACTGTATGTTTTTGTTTGTTTTTCAATGTCTATGCTCCTGAGAGAAGAGATCACCAAAGAAGTGGTATATTTCTCCGTTTTGAAAGATTGTAATCTATGATTACACAGTTGCTAAACATAGTAATTGATTGAAGCTGATTATTGCTGGTCTTACTAATATATAGGAAAGTATTGATGTATTAGAATGTACATATCTGTCTTTCTTGGCCTGACAAAGGGCTTGTTGCCCGAAACTGTAGCCAAACTGTAACCTTTTTGTCTGATGGACATTTAAACACACACAATGGATATAAAAAGTCTACACACACTTGTAAAAAGTGCCAGTTGTTTTTAGATAGGTGTACTCGTCCTCTTATAATTAAGGATGTGGCTGTGTTCAGAATTAAACAATCCTATTCAAGCTGTTAAACAGTAGTCAGTACACACATGCTATCAATGAAAGTGACTCTGAATAAGCCCATATAAAGTTCAGCTGTTCTGCTAGAATTATTCTGACATTTAGGCTCCATTCACACGTGTGATCCAATTAGGTCTGCCTGTCAGTTTTTCAGGAGGACCTTATCAGTTGGTCCCTTAGATGTAAATGGACTTGTGTCCGTTTACACCCTCCTAGCTCCAATCTGATGCAGTCCACTTAAAGAAAATACAAAATGGAAGCGGATCCATCCTCTGCCTAGGCCTAGCAGATCAGAGGGTTATTGAATGTAAACAGATAGCTGGTCTGTTTACGCCCAGCTGCCAATACAGCAGAGTGGGCTCTGTCCGTGTCAGCTCTGCAGAAACTGAGCGAACACAAACTTGTCATCCACTCGCTCTGCTAAGTGGACAGATCCCCTGCTGAGCAAATCGATTCCACCCCATATGAAAGGGGGCTTACTCTGTTGCCTCTTACAGCAAAAGCCATGGTCCACAAAGAGCTTACAAAGCATGAAAGGGATCTCACTGTTGGAAGGTATGAGCCAGGAAAAGGTACGTAAAAATTCCAAGGCGTTAGACATACCATGGGACAAAGTGAAGACGGTCATCATCAAGTCGAAAAAATATGATGCAACTGTGACATTACCAAGAACTGGACGTTCCTCCAAAATTGATTAAAAAAAAAAGAAAGAAAACTAGGCTGGGAGGCTGCCAATAGCCCTACAGCAACATTAAAAGGAGCTGCAGGAATTTCTAGTTGGATATTACATGTGACACCAATCTCCAGTATTCTTCATCTGTGTGGGCTGTGGGGTAGGCTGGTGGGATGGAAGCCTTTTTTTTTTACTAAGAAAAACATTCAAGCCCAGTGATTTTGCAAAACCCTACATCAAGTCTACCAAAAGCAAGTGGGAAAATGTGTTATGGTTTGACGAGATCAAGGCCGAATTTTTTTGGCCATAGTTGCAGAAAGTATGTTTGGTGCAAAATTAATACTGCACATCACCAAAAAACACCATACCCATAGTGAAGCATGGTGGTGGCAGCAAGTCTCCAACCCAGTGTCAAGAACTTGCCAGAGACCAGCAGGACATGTGGGCAGGTGTTCTCAGGTCCTAGATTATAAGGGTTTGTGAATAGTTTGGTGCTTCACCTGAGAGAGACACAGGAGGTATCTGTCCAGGAGACAAGTGGGCTTCACCTTAGGAGACAAGTGTGAGCCATTATAGTAGTGTGCATTGAGTTTGGGAAAGAAGATATTCTGGACAGACAAGGGCCTGAGGATTAAGGCCATAGAAGGTGTGCGTGTTGAGGAGCTTGCAGTAGCTGTGAACAATGATCTGGGGGATCAGACTTGAAGCCTAGGCATTAGGTCGGAAGCAGCCATGTGGCAAGCATGAGATAGGAAACTGATGTATTTTTTCTTGTGATTAATGATGGTAATAACCCCTGAAAGGACAACTAATTTGTGTGAACTTTTTTTTCATTCTTTTTTATTAAACATTGTGATAGATATTTTGGGCCTACAATAATTTTTAATATTATTGTGAACTTCTGATAGGGGTCTATCCTGTACCTTATTTACCATCTGTTGCATCACCTCAACACCCCCCTTAGGTTTCCTGTAGAGGTTTATGACAGTAAGGCCATCCAGCTGAATAAGCCCTAGAGCCATTATTTATAATACCTTCTAGGGAGTACCTGGCTTCAAAGGAGGTATGCTTCCTGGACATTGGCCCATCCTAAATTCCATCTGATGAACTACAGTTGGCCAATGTCTTTCACAAATCACAGAGCCCCCCTTTGAACAGAAATGTTCAAAAATACTGTAACCTATTGAAGGGTGGGACTACCTGGAAGGGAGGGGGTATAAAGTTCTGCCTCTTTGTCCCTTCCGGAGCCCAGACCTCAGAACATCAGGATGTCTGTGTAATGTATCAGCATTGCTCTATTTCTTTTCTATAGTCATCTCTCTATACTGATAATATACTGTATGTTATACTGTAACATTTATTTTTTATTGTAATATCATATCTTTTGTTTGATTCGATTAATAACTACTTTTCTTCTGTGTAAATAAATTAGATGTTTATTTTTTGCACAGTAGTTATCCTTTGCTATTAACATTATTGGTAATAGCCACATGAGGATTGGCTAAATTCATGTATAGACAAAAGGTTGTAATCACTTATTACATTTATAGTCTTAGATAGAACCAAGTAAAACAGTGTGGTAGAAAAACCGCCAAAATAATGTCCCCAATGTGTCAGTGCATATGTATTAATATATTTATATATAAATCACGTGAATAACACCTGTGGAACTTAAAGATTGTATCAAAGCAATTTTTTAATATATAGTAGAGAATGGTTAGAACCTGTCCGTTTCTTTTTACTGCTATCTGTATTCCCACTGAATAGATTAACTGCCTTTATTTTCTTTATTTGTCACCCAGACTGAAAGTGAGGGAAGATTCAAAAGTTCTCAGTGGATACATACAGTAGGGCAAAAAAGTATTTAGTCAGCCACCAATTGTGCAAGTTCTCCCACTTAAAAAGATGAGAGAGGCCTGTAATTGGCATCATAGGTAGACCTCAACTATGAGAGACAAAATGAGAAACAAAATCCAGACAATCACATTGGCTGATTTGGAAAGAATTTATTTGCAAATTATGGTGGAAAATAAGTATTTGGTCACATACAAACAAGCAAGATTTCTGGCTCTCACAGACCTGTACCTTCTTCTTTAAGAGGCTCCTCTGTCCTGCACTCATTACCTGTATCAATAGCACCTGTTTGAACTTGTTATCAGTATAAAAGACACCTGTCCACAACCTCAGTCACACCGTCATATTTAAAATTATACTATATAATTTTAAATATGAGGCATATTAAAGTTTATTATTTTAATGTTAGGTATACTAATCAGATTATGAGGCACAAATCTGCTGGATCATATATTATATATGGATACCGAGTTAGATATAAGAGTATGGCATGCAGCTGATCCGAGTAGCAACGTCTGACAGGCAGAAAATTAACATACACCTGGGATAATACTGTGTTAATTGAACATAGGAAAAATCAGTTAGAAAATGGCCGCGCCCATGCGGTCTTCAACAAAATGGCGGCCGCTATGTATATATACCAACACAAGATAGTTGTGATGTCCAATCAAATTCCCCCCGATGAAGTCACGTGACCCTGTGACGCAACGCGTAGGGGAGGGGCTCTGACGTCACGACGTTGCATCGGAGAGGCTCGGCGACTCTAGCAGAGGCAGACAGAGAGGCAGAGGGAATCACCAGCTCTGCATATCTGCATA